AAAAAAAAAAAAAAAAAATTCTGTATATTGACAATAGTATAAGGTGATAGCTGCCTTTGAGAGAGAACCAAGAAATTACAGAAACACACATACTAGGAAGATTATGCAAAGTGCCAAGAATAATGACTGGCACCTAGAAAGTTCTAAATAAGTATTTAAATAAAACATAAATTATAGCAAATGCCTGGTGTACTTGTACCTCTGGAAAATCTCATTACCCTCTGATAATTTATCTTAATGATTATTATCAGAGGGTAATGTGATAGCTTGTCATGATAGATGAAGTTTTTTAGTAGCTTGTTTCAAGCAATATTTTAGAAAAGTATCTGTGGAGGTCAAGAAAACAGATTTAACATTGAATGAATATGCTGATTAATCTGCTATTTAATTATATATAGACTTTTGACACACTAGAAAATATTTAAAAGGTAACAGGATGGATAACAATATTTTTTCTCATATTTCATGAAATGTCTGAAATGTAGTAAAGCTTTATATAACTTGAAGGTTGTTTTTTGAAATTTACATATTCAGAAATAAATAACAAATACTTTTTTCCCCCCTCCGAATAAAACTCCAAAACAGCTTTTGTCCCAGTTTGTTTCTCCATTTACTGGATGCATTTATGGAAGGCACATTACAGGTATTTTGTTTTTTATCATGGGAATATATATGTAGATAAGAATTATATCAATGTATTTCTGTCATTTAAGAAAACTGTCAAATTTTCAAATTGTGCTATAAATTACTACTAGATCAGATACTACAGGGACTAGAGCTAGTTACTATGAAAAAGCCTCCTAGGCCAAGGGGATTATTATTTTGCTGTCTTATGCAGAGTTGACTATATAGAAAACTTGGGCTTTATAAAACTGTTGTTGGTGTTTTGGAAGATCCTATAATCATTCCTAGATTGGTACTTAAACTTGGTGTCAGCAAACTATGGCCCATAGGTCAAATCCGACCTGCCCCCTTTTTATCTTGATCAGGTTCATCATATACAAATGCCAACTTTTTTTTTTTTTTTTTTTTTGAGATGGAATCTCACTGTGTCACCTAGGCTGGAGTGCACTGGCATAATCTCGGCTCACTGCAACCTCTGCCTCCTGGGTTGAAGCGATTCTCATGCCTCAGCCTCCCGAGTAGCTGGGATTACAGGCATGCACCACCACCTCAGCTAATTTTTGTATTTTTAATAGAGACGGGGTTTCTCCATGTTGGCCAGGCTGGTCTTGAACTCCTGACCTCAGGTGATCCGCCCACCTAGGCCTCCCAAAGTGCTGAGATTACAGGCATGAGCCACTGTGCCCAACCCCACTTGTTTTTGCAGTTTTGTTTACATAGTGCCATATGGTTGTTTTCGAGCTACCACAGCAGAGTTGAGTGGTGGTGATGGAGACTGTATGGCCCAGAAATCCTAGAATATTATTATTCTAGCACTTGACAAAAATGATTTACCAACCCTTGACTTAAAAACTTGTTGAGGCTGGGTGTGGTGGTTCACGCCTGTAATCCCAGCACTTTGGGAGGCTGAGGTGGGCGGATCACCTGAGGTGAGGAGTTCAGGACTAGCCTGGCCAATATGGTGAAACCCTGTCTCTACTACAAATACAAAAAAATTAGCCGGGTGTGGTGGTGCACACCTGTAATCCCAGTTACTGAGGAGGCTGAGGCAAGATAATTGCTTGAGTCTGGGTGGCAGAGGTTGCAGTGAGGCGAGAGTGCGCCTCACTGTACTCCAGCGAGACTCTGTCTCCAAAAAAAAAAATTGCAAACTTTAAATATTGACATTTTTTATGAATAAGAAAGCTTTTTATTTTACAGGTCTTTGTGGGAAGAAACAGAAAGAAATCACAAAAGCAATTAAGAGAGCTCAAATACTGGGTAAGAAAGAACACCTCAACAACTGAATTGAGCTAGCTGAAGTTTTGTTCATTATGTTTTCTCAAGAACTTTAATTATCTCTTTACAGGGTTTATGCCAGTTACATACAAGGATCCTGCATATCTCAAGGACCCTAAAGTTTGTAACATCAGATATCGAGAATAAATTATATCACATTTCCACCAATAAACTTATTTTACAGTAAGTGGTTGTATGATGCCAATATTGACTCAAACCAAACTTTGGATACAAAAGTGTTTGAGGAGTGAGGTAAAGAGTGACACTTCCCTTCATACCAATGTCCATTAAGCAGATTGCTTATTTAAAATGTTAACACTCATCACATTTTACATATGTTGAATAAAAGTGGTTCTGTGTGATTTTCATTTATATCTGATTCCCAAATAGCTCATACAATAATCCATTCAATTGAATGGAATTAAAACTGCTCAGAATGATTTTCCAACTAGCAAATGTAAGTATGCCTGGTTAAGGTATCTTCCCTTTGTAGAAATGTTACATTGGGATGGATAGTGGTGTTGTCACAGGAGGACAAAATATTCCTAGACAAGTCTATCCTCAAACCAGTAGTGTCTTTTACATAAAGATGATTTACACCTAATAGACATTGAATATGATAGACATGTATGTATGTATGTACCAATTCTGAGTTCCACTGGCCTATCCCAAATACACTGGATTACCAGGCTTGTACTGTATTCAAACTGATGGATTTGCTAAATTTTGTGCAAAGGACTCTAGGGGAGAGATTACTGTTTGTGTTGCATTATAGTTGTGTAATAATTAAGGCTGCCAGATTTAGCAAGTACAAATGTAGGACAAATTTAAATTTTAGATGATGTTTTGCAAATTTATTGCATGGTATCCAGCATTTTATCTGGCAACTCTAGCCATAATGTACTTTTTTCATATAAATTTCCTTCCATATTGTGAAAATAAGGCTATTCTTGATTTTCCAATTTTTTCTTTTTTAATAGAGATGGGTCTCAATACGTTGCCCAGGCTGGTCTCTAACTCCTGGCCTCAATCCTCCTGCCTTGTCTTCCCTAAGTGCTGGGATTACAGGTGTGAGCCACTGTGCCTGGTCTCACTTTTCCAATTCTAAATAATGTTTCTGTGTAAGCCTTCCCCTCAACAACTTAGTGAAAGGTGAAAAAAAAGGTTTGGAAATAAAAGCATCTCATGTTTGAAAAAGCACTTTGTGAAATAAATGCACTAAGACTTATCTGTGTACTACTGCAAACAGGTGAACACAGTAAAAACAAATGAACTTACTGCAAGTAGCTCAACATAGTAAAAACAATAGAAATGTTTGGCTTTACCCATCAGCCAAATAAAAAAAATCTCCTTTTAAGGTTAAAAGGATCAAAATGTAGGAGACTGTGAATATTCACCAAAACCCTTCATCTTCTCAATTTCTTCATCCGTTTCTGGGCTGCTCATTTTGGACGCTTTATCTTGGTTACTACTATCAGTATCTGCTTTAGATCGTTTATCTTGTGTATCTAACAACCGTGACCTCTTAAATTGCCATCTGTCATCTAAGTCTAAGGCTTTATGCTTAATGATTTGTGGTGTACTAGCTGAACTAGCTTCAGGAATGTCAGTGTGTTCTACCATTAAGGTCAGATTGTCTACTATGTCGAGGTGGTGGTTGATGTTACAGCTACTTTTAGAAACATGTCTACTTTTTAAAGACATAACACATGAATGAAGAAATTCAGAATTTGGAAAAAAGGTCCGTAATGCTTGGCAAAGAAAAATATTCTCCTGAGGGTCTTTTTGGATGTTCTTCTCTCCTAAACAAAATAGAGTAACAGTTCAACATACAGCATTTCTTCTACAAAGCTTTTATAATTAACTATTGTAAAATTAAGTCAAAAAGATTTTAACAGTTTTATTATCTAAAGTGAGAATAACATACATAATTCTGAATTCTAATTTATATGCCACAGTATTCTAAGACAAAATTAAAGTTGTGTTCTTTCATGTCAGCAATATAGCTACTGTAGTATTATGTTCTTTAAAAGCACAGGAAGAGCCGAGCGTAGTGGCTCATGCCTATAATCCCAGCACTTTGGGAGGCTGAGGCGGGTGGATCACTTGAGGTCAGCAGTTGAAGATCAGCCTGGCCAACATGGTGAAACCCTGTCTCTATTAAAAATACAAAAAAATTAGCTAGGCATGGTGGCAGGCACCTGGAATGCCAGCTTTTTGCGAGGCTGAGGCAGAAGAATTGCTTGAACCCAGGAGGCAGAGGTTGCAGTGAGCTGAGATCACACCACTGTACTCCAACCTGGGTGACAGAGCGACACTCTATCTCAAAAAAATAAAAAATAAAAATTTTTAGCACAGAAAGTAGAGACGTGTTGTTTACTTACGTGCTGCCTGAATCTGTGCTCGTTTCCTTTTCTCAATTTCTCGTTTTAATCTGTTTACATCCTTTACTAGTTTATCTACTGCTTGTTCACTGTCTTCTACCTTTTTGCATATACTCTGCAAAATAAAATTTAAGGGCATAGGTTAAGATTTCAAGCTCTGTACTAATATAGTCTGGATTCACAAATAATATAAAATCATTGGTGGTATATAATACCGAAAACTATTTGCCTTTTATATACATTTTATTTATTTTCTGGAGGACCTCAGTAACAAGCACTTGTAGGTTATAAATAAGCCTTATATGTTATAAAATGCTTTTTCAGAGGTAGTAACTTCTCATTTATACAGTTTTTATCATGCCAGTTAATTTCATTGAAAATACACAGAAATAAACAAATATGAACTCATGGGCCAGGCTGCAGTGGCTCACGCCTATAATCCTAACACTTTGGGAGGGTGAGGCGGGCAGACTACCTGAGCTCATGAGTTTGAGACCAGCCTGGGCAACATGGTGAAACCCCGTCTCTACTAAAAATATAAAAAATTATCCAGGTGTGGTGATGCATGCCTGTAGTCCCAGCTACTCGGGAGGCTGAGGCACGTGAATTGCTTGAGCCCAGGAAGCAGAGGTTGCAGCGAGCCGAAATCACACCACTATACTCCAGCCTGGGCAATACAGTGAGACCCTGTCTCAAAAAAAAAAAAAAAAAAAAAAACTTTGAAACAAAAAATACAGATGCAGAGTTACTGCATACATTTAACACTAAGAAACTCACAGTAAGTGAAAACAAAGTGACTTTTACTATTATGAAAGGATACTATTGAAGAGTTTTTCCTGTAAGACACACTACTTTTGAAAAGCAGATCAGTTCTGTGTGTCTTTAGTTTTAAAAGTATGAATACCAATAACTTTTGATGCCATAATTCCATTTGGGAATATATCTTAATAACAACAAAAATATAAGATGATGTTTCTTAGTATAACATAAAACAACTGGGGGAGGGGAGAACATTTAAAAAAAAAAACTAATTTCCAATTGTAGGCTAATAGTTGTTTTGCCAGTTTTAGTGGACACTTTTTAGGATGTCTGCCAAGCCTACTTTTTACAAACTTTTTGCCCTGACATAAGAGTTTTGCCAGTTACCCCTGTACCCATCTTTCACCCGAGCTGACCCAAACAGAACCAATTAGATTCTTGCCTGGCAATCTGGAGGTATTACATAGCCAATTGGCAAATCTTTGCTCTAGAAGACATCTAAATGCAGGAGCTATAGGTTAGCTGTTTTCTGGCCTGCCAGTGGATGAAGAAACAAAAAGGTCTGGAAGGATAACAATGTGCAGACAGAGAAAGTTCTATTGGCTTTCTAGCTCCTGGTTACAATTCCTTCCTAAAGTTCAGCTGCTTTCTGCCTACAGTTCTTATGATATACCTCTACGTTACATTCCCTATTTTAGCCCAAGTTGATATTTTTCCATAACATTGCTCTATGAAATATATTGCCATTAAAAATAAAGAAGCCAGGCGCGGTGGCTCACACCTGTGTACTTTGGGAGGCCGAGGCAGGTGGATCACCTGAGGTCTGGGGTTAGAGACCAGCTCGGGCAACATGGCAAAACCCCGTCTCTACTAAAAATGCAAAAATTAGCCTGGCATAGTGGTGGGTGTGTGTAATCTCAGCTACTTGGGAAGCTGAGGCAAGAGAATCGCTTGAACCTGGGAGGCAGAGGTTGCAGTGAGCCAAGATCGCGCCATTGCACTCCAGTCCGGGCGACATACTGACACTCCGTCTCAAAAAAAACAAAAAAACAAATGCAAAAACAAAACAGCTAAAGAATATGTAGCAACAGGAACAATGTTTGATGTATCAAATTTTTTAAAAATCATGACACAAATTTATGTCACTGTGACTGTCAACTATATCAAAGTATACATATATTAAGGAAAAACTGGAGCACATGGCAGAGTGAAAATAGTTATGTTAAAATAGTGAGAGTCCAGGCTGGATGTGGTGGCTCACACCTGTAATCCCAGTACTTCAGTACCTTGGGAGGCCAAGGAGGGTGGCTTGCTTGAGCTCAGGCGTTGGAGACCAGCCTGTAAACATGATGAAACCCTGTCTCTACACAAAATACAAAAAAAAGCTGGACATAGTGGTGCACACCTGTGGTCTCAGCTACTCTGGAGGCTGAGAGAGGAGGATCACTTGAGCCCAAGAGGTGGCAGTTGTAGTGAGCTGAGATCATGCCATTGCACTCCAGCCTGGGTAACAGAGCAAGACACTGTCTCTAAAAAATAAATAAAAGGGTGAGATTCTGGATGTTTTCACCATCTAAAATTCCTGTTTCATATGAAAAAAGTGTAATACGAATCAAAATATTTTAACTGCTTTTCTGTTAGTGTGCTCTACTGATGAGTATGGTGGCCATGGAAATATACTCCTTACTAAGATTTCCAACTGGGGAAAGCATAGTTGACTTAACAGCCCCAGCTTTGGATCTACCAGTGTGTTTGCTCTTAAGCCACACTTCCCCTGGGCTGTTCCTAGCCAATGACTAAGCACAGTGCAGATATTAGTGCAAGTCCATGCCTATAGAACAATTTTTGGGCAACTTTGCTCAAACACTCCCCATCAGCTTAGTGGAACTTCCTTAAAATGGCACTGCAGTCTGAGGCTCTTCCTAACCACTTGTCCTCTTACCCCCTCTCCTTTCGCAGGGGTCAGACTTGCAGTGTTGTCTGAAGGCTCTTCATGCCTGTTATTGCTTCCTCTTCTTTATCCTTCTCAGGTCCAGTAAATCTCCTGCACTTATAATCCCATCTTGACATCTAGTTCTCAAAGGACCTGAACTGACACATAAAGTAGAACTGACACATGAAGTAGAGGGAAGTATATACTGTTATCAAATATACGTCCCTCTATTCTGTAAGAAGGATTATATATCCCTGCCTATTACCATGTGATGTGTTCAGGTCAATGAAATGTGAGTGGAAGTGACATGGCCATTTTAAGCAAAGTTTTCAGAGCTGTTGTGAATTTCCATTAGCTTTTTTTTTTTTTTTTTTTTGAGATGGAGTCTCGCTCTATCACCCAGGCTGGAGTGCAGTGGCACGATCTTGGCTCACTGCAAGCTCCACCTCCCGGGTTCACACCATTCTCCTGCCTCAGCCTCCCGAGTAGCTGGGACTACAGGCACCCGCCACCATGCACGGTTAATTTTTTTTGTATTTAGAAGAGACGGGTTTCACCGTGTTAGCCAGGATGCTCTTGATCTCCTGACCTCGTGATCTGCCCACCTCAGCCTCCCAAAGTGCTGGGATTACAAGCGTCAGCCACCATGCCTGGCTCCACTACCTTTCTTACTGTTTGCCTTATGCCATGAGAACATGTCCCAAATAAGGGCTGCTCCTTCAGCCTGGATCCTGGATGAAGGTGACATTCAGAAAAGGAATAGAGCTACAGCCAAAATATAATGTGAGCAAGACCACACCATGGTTGTTGTAAGCACTGAGATTGCAATCTTTGTTACTACAGCTAAAGAAATACGTCTCAGTCAATGAAGCTAAACGAATAACAACATCTTGTTCAACAAGGGACAGCATCTATGATGGGGTCTCACGAGATTATAATGGAGCACATATAGAAAGCTGATATACAGCACGTGATATTGGCATTACAGATCAAATAGGGGAAATGATTGATATTCAATAATTTGGGGACATTTGGTTTTCCCTGTGAAAACTAAAAAGTAAAAATACAGGTTTGTGTAAGTATATGTTTGCACAATGATGAAATTGCCTAATGATACATTTCTCAGAAGGTATAGCCCTCATTAAGCAACGCATAACTGTATAAATCTAATCAAGATGTCAGGTTATCCCTAAAAAATGTCAGTCATTAACTCGATATGAACTCTATCTAGAAGTGGTTGAAGTGTTTGATATGTTAACTTACCTTTAATTCCTCTTGTAAAGAAGCATACATTTCATTTATCTTATGTACCTCCTTTAAGGATCCATCTTCTTCAAAAAATTTAGAGCTGTAAAAAATTACCATTTCCTCAGGCAAATACACAAAACTCATTTTCATGATAAGGTGAAAAACTTATTGTCAAAGAGCAATGGAAGATTCTTTTTACTGGTTTTGTAGGAACCATAATTTTGTCAATCTATGTGTATGCAGAAAAACCAACCACAAAACCTACTTCATTGATCTTCACATTAGCAAACATTTTAGCCTCCTAAGTACTACTGACAGGTCTCCCAAAAAGGCGAGGATGGGCAGGGGATGGGGGAAGATTGCATAAAAATAGATAAAAATTGAAGGAAGGAAAAAAGGTCTCTATTGGCAATGGGAACCGGAGTCAATTTTTTAAATATTTTACTGAATTCAAGCTACCTTTACTTGAAAGAGACATCATTATTTTATTATCCATGAAATAAGGAAAAAAGTAATTCTAAGAAGGCATGACTCGTAAGACATCCCAATGTCAGAGATAAATATGAAAAATGTGCATCTCGCCAGATGTGGTGGCTCACGCCTGTAATCCCAACACTTTGGGAGGCCGAGGCAGGCGGATCACCTGAGGTCGGGAGTTTGAGACCAGCCTGACCAACACGGAGAAACCCCATCTCTACTAAAAAAATACAAAATTAGCTGG